CATGCAAATAAGGGTAAAAAACAAATCCAGAGGTCAGAATAAAATATTAGGTGTATTCTACAAAAATAGATAGAAATGTTTCCATGTGTTTTATATAGAACGTGTCTTAAAAATGCCCCTCAGGATCCATGCCAGAATTTTTAACCTGCTAGGCCTTTTTAGATAGTTTCATTGCTTTGAGAAATCTTCCTGCTTCCCTGAGATATAGACATTATGCACATTAACAGTAAATAGACCTTTCTAATTGAGTTGATAGGTTGAAAGTGAACGTGTCCTTGAATTTATATGAAAAGAGAGACAGTGATTATTTATAATAAGGGATTTATCGCTTCTTGGCCTTTGGACTAAAAGGAAGCGTAGAAAGGGTTTAGCCACCGACTTCCCTTTTGTACAGCAAAGACTTTATCAACAGACCATATTTAAGTAAATACTGCCAAATAAGATAAATTCTGCAGGAAAAGACAAATGTCTCTGGTGTCAGATGCGGGCAGCAAGAGGCTCCTTGGATGCCATATTCTCCGCACTGAGACCGGGACCCGGCGTAGACAGCGCTCAAATCCATCAAAGTTCAGATTTGACTGGCTGCTTGCGAGCTGAATGTGGGAATGTGGCAATGTGCAATTTATTTAATTTTAATGAAATTTCAGCTCCTATCCTGTTTTGCAAGTCAGCAAGATGGCTAGATTTGCCAACGGAAGGGTTGCAATAACGAAGGCAAGGTGGCTCCCTTGTCCGGGAGAATTAGCAGCCCGGTGCTGGCCCAGTCGCACTGGAGCCCTGGAGAACGCACAACTCTGTGGGTGGAGCCTGTCTGGCCTAGCAGCGTCCCAGCCTGCTATCTCCTGGCTGAAGGGCCTATTTGTCTGCTTTAAGTGAAATCACTCAATTCTCAAAAGTCAGCGGAGGACTCTAGAAGGGGGAGGGTTTGGATAGGCTACTCCAAATAAGTTCCATTAATCAAAAGACACAGTGTAATGTAACTAATATTTTACAATTAGGGGAGACAAGATGGAACTAAAAGCCATCTATCTCTCTTATACCACATGATCATCGATTCATAATCGGAGACTGAGAGTTGCACAAAGACGCATTTACTGGATGGGGGGAGCGGGGGGAGGGCCGGTCTGAGCCGGGATAATGAACGCGATGAGAGAGCGGGACGCTGAAGGCTGAGGAGAGATGACAGAGGGGCTCAATGCTGACGGATGACACGAAGACACGCGCAGATACCTGACAGCCCGCGGGAGCCGCAGCGCTCCTTCCCCAGCATTATGATCCTCAATTATCTCGGTAAGGGACTAGGAAGGGAGAGCCAGGGGCTGGCTGAGCCGGCCTCCACCTCCGCACCACGGCGCCCCGCTGCCAGGGACGGCCGCCCTGCCCGAGCCTGTGACCACCGCTCGGAGGGGCTGCACTTTTCATTGTCAGCGCTCCTGGGCACGCAGGAGGACACAACGTGGAACGCCGGGGCCGGCGCTCCGTCTGCTCTGTGATACAATTGCTAACTCCTCAGAGGGACTCATTTTTTCTCTTTCACTGCCACCTTCAGGAAAAGAAAGCGTTGGCCCTTTCCAGAGAGAAAAGAAAAAAGAAAAGTGGGGAGGGGGTTCCTGGGAGTTTGGGGTCTCTGCTGCGGAACCGGCCACCCCGATAGCTCAGGTCCCGAGATGATCTTCCCAGAGCGAGTCTCCACAAGGAGCCACGCCAGGAGGGCAGCGAGCCTCCAAGGGAAACGCAGACGCTGAGAGCTCAGCAGGAGGGAAGCTTTGCCTGCCCCTCGGTGCACCCCGGAGTTAGACGTCTTCGGTCTTCGCGCAACTTTCTCCCGCCGCCACCCCATGGCAAGCACTGCCACCAGCTAGGGTCTCTCGTTCCCACACGTTTCCTAGACCGATTTCTCTGTAAAGATGCAGATGGCCTCGCACAATGCTCATGTAGCGTGTCTTCTCCACAAAGAGAAACAAATGAGGCTCCGGGAGGCAGAAAAATTTGGGATCTCAGCAAATCAGCAGAACCCGTGGGGCAGGTGGTGGGGCTGACAGCTCCCAAGCCCTTGATGGAGGTCGAGGCGGCCTGGCAGGGACCACGTTCCTGTTCTCGTTGCTTAGCACAGGGCTATTTCCTTAATATACAATACTGTGGTGACAGATTATGTAATACACACAAATCCCACATTGAAGCCAGAGGTCCAGAGAAACCATGATTTTTATGGTATTTATTTTTTAAATCATAACTCGGCTTCCAGATATGCGGTCCACAGAAGCTGCCCTGACTTCTCCCCCTCCTGTTTGCCCACCTCTTCCTTGGCACCTCGTGGGGGGGGGTCTCGGTGCCCAGCTTCAAGGAAGAGCTAAGCCGGGCGGGGATCCTATAGTTTGATTTCCCTGCAAAGCAGGCAGTGGGGATTCTTGAGTGTAGGATTGTGTGCTCATGTCCACACACACACACCCCATGTGAGTAAAAACCCTCCGAAGTGTAAGAGCTCCCAGGTGTCCCGGTTCCTTGCTCAGCTGACAGGTTCTATAAGTCAGGCTGCAGTGGGGGGAACTTCCGGGAAGGTTCCTTCCAAAGTGCCCACCCTCAGACTCCAGAAGCAGACCCCAGAGTCACAGATGGAGCACACGCGCACACACACACACACACACACACACACACACACCTTTGCTATTTGGCCCATTTCTTCTAAGAACTTGGTAAAGACCTCCATCCTGACTTTATTTAAACAACCGCAAGGTCAAGGGATCTCTGGGATCCAAAGAACATGCTGCGTCCAATCTGGGGGGCTAGGCAGGCGACAAAGGTGACAAATGAAATCAGTCTGCCCAGCCCAAGTAGCTATAATCGAGACCCTCCCCTTGTTCTTACACAAACCCTGACCCCAGGAGTATAAGTTTGAACGTCCTGGACTGTCGGCCCCAGGACACGTGGTGAGGCCGGCAACGCTGGTCAGCCCTGCTCAGGTCCTGGCTGCTGCTCCCTCTCTCCACATCCATCAGCCCTATGAAGTCATTCTGTGAAGCCAACGCTTGCACTAAAGATTTCCTAGTTCACATGCAGACCCTTTAATGAGAAACGACTGAACCAAGCCGGAGCTGGATAAAATAAAGCATGAAAGCAAGCCAAAGCCAAGCCTTAAAAAATGAAGTTCCAGGAATAGACTCCTCCGTGAGTGTGGTTTTAACTTCTCCATCGCTGTGACTTTGCCCTTAAGCAGAAGTGCAATGAAAACTAAGAATTTTTAGGTAGGGTGAATATTTTTACCAAAACCTCTACCACAAACCCAATTTAACCTCTTTGGAAGCGGCCTGTGTGTCAAGATGTTTGTACACGTGTGTGCCTCTTTGGTGGGACACACTTGGGCACATGATTGGTGCTTTTATTTGTGGCTTGACCCAATGCAGAAGAGAGACGATGTACAATGAATGTTCCAAGAGGCATTTATAAAATGCTATATTCATATATATATATATATATATATATATATATAATCTTGTCTCAGTGTATCAAACCAAAGCAGTGTTAAAGGCACGAATTCTTAATTTCAATGAGCCATGAATAAAGGTATAAATTCGGTGTTGGTCTAATTAACTGAGCCATGTGATTGACAAGAAATGTGAATTAAGCATGTGCAATTTACAACTCCTCGTGGGTCTTTGTTTATTTGAGGGTTTTTTTTTCCTATTTTTCACTACTGAGGATTGAACCCAGGACCTTTTCACTGAGCTACAGCCAAAGTTCGCCAGGCTACACTTGAACTTACAGGCCTCCTGCCTCAGTCTCCCAGGATGCTGGGATCACAGGTTCTCTGTGGTTAAGGAGTGTTACAGAGAAGCATGAGGCAGACGAGTCAGTGATAGCTCAGTGCACGGCTTGCCACCCCCGAGGTTCTGAGAAATCCAGTCGGAGGTGATCTTGGATCAGGACCACACGCCCTTTGGGCTCTGCATTAGAAAATCAATGTCTTCGAAAAGATATTCAGGGAGCAATTCCACTCCTATTCACAGGGACATCCGTGTTTCAAATACCACTAAGCTTTGACAGTGTGGAAGGCAGGTGGAAGGCATCAGAAGAAAAAAGCAAAAAGTCCTCTCAGCTGGCTCTCTTAGTCTCAGACTGGGTGGGCTGGCAGCTACTAAAAATTAAATAGGAGCGATTTTCAAAAGGCAAACTGAACATTTCCACAATCATAAAATCAGCTCTAACAGTGCAATATTCCTTGAACTCCAAACAAATTATTTGGAAGGATATTAAACCTGGAAGGTCTTTTAAATTCCTTATTAGAATGGAGATTACATAGAACTCGTGGCCAAATCACATACAATTTGACCCAATTCTTTTCCAGCCTTTCATATCATTTGATATTAGGCAGAAACTATTGTTCAAATGCAGAAATTCATTATCCTCTTCTCCAGCCAAACCAGGCTGAGAAAATTCGGAGACCTGGTTTTCAACCATATTGCAACCATAAAGGTGGTCTTTAGTGCCACCTGGAGGAGAGATGGAGACATGGCATGTGAATCACGGAGGAAAATTAAATACAGCTGAATAATTGAATGAGAGGGCAAGTTGAATCAGGGGTCACCATCTGTTTGACTAGAATTGTTGGCACATTTCAGCTAAGCCTCGCGCGCCTTGTAAACATGCTTACAGTTATCATAGCTCGCATTGCCCTAAAATAAAAGAAAATTGGTCCTAAAATAAGCCTGAACTAATTAAACATATACCATCTTGTCGTCATGGAGACCAGAGTGAAGGTCACCAATTTCTTATGGCATTCAGGCGGGGTTTGGTGCCAAAAAGAGACAGGTGATTCTCTCAGCTCTTAGGAGAGGGCATCTCTGCCCACCTAGTCAGCGGCTGGATGTGAGGCGTGGGGAGAGGAAGGACGACCCCCAGTTCTCAGCCTTGCTCTCTCCCCCCTCTCTCGAGGCCTGAGGGGAGGCAGTGAGGGAGGGCAGGCCGGAAATGACGTCATCTCCTAAGAACCCAGGAAGCGCATCAGGAGGGACGGTGGGGTGCCCTCTGCCAACATTGCTTACGGTTGTACCCAACTGGCACATTTGCCCTGGGAGGTGGGGGTGGGGAGGCTTCTTTCCAGTGACCTGGGAGTCCTCTGACAGGATCCCTCCACCAGCCTCTTCGGAGTGCTGGTCCTCTACCAAGAAGGTACATGCAGCTGGTTGGGTGTGCACGTGTGTGCGCGTGTGATACCGTACTCTGTGCATGAGCAAGTACAAATTCATATTTTGGGAGCGAAACCAATGAAAACTGCACATCTGATACAATTTTCCTGATGGACCCACATGCACACACGTAACTTGGGAGGAGACGCTCTGGCTTGGAGTCCTCCGCGCACAGTGGGCTCCTACTGGGGACAGCTGGGGACATCGATGTATAAACGCAAACCTCGGAGTCTCAGATGTCTCAGGCTAGATCTAAGGTCTTTCCTGGCAGTATCAGGAGAGAAGAGTCGCAGGGTTTGGAGAAGTAAAGACTTGGCTTTTCCGCCCTGGGGGCCTCCAGCCTCCCCTCCCCAGTCTCTTTGCTGCCTTCTAAAAGCCTCTCCCCTTTTCCCTCCCAAGCTGCCAGGCTGGGGCTGCCCTGCCTCTTTCCGGTCCCTTTTGCAGTCGATTATGCACGCATCGCTTATGGAAGCCACAGTGGAGTGACCCCAACTTCAGCAAAGGCTCCTCCGGGACACAATTAATGTCTGTTGTCGCCCGTGTTGGCTGGGCTGACACCATCACGGATTCCAGAGGTGCTGTTCTCTCTCCAGCGGCAGAGATGCCTGGGAGAAGGGGGATGCTACCCAGAGACCAGAGGCTGGAAATGGACCGTGCAGACTTGAGTTGCTTCTGCTCCTCAGTAATTAGGACCCATCACACGAGGCTGGTTTGCACCCAGGTCTGGTGTCTGATTCGGGCAGCAGGCTGACTCCTTGGACTCCACATTATGACAACAGGAGAGAAAGGATCAAAGAAATAATTCAAGGGCTCTAGGATGCTCTATTTCCTGAGCTGGCTCCACTGTGCAGTGCACACCCTGTGTTTCCTCACCTTACAGGCGTCCAGAGACCCACATAGAAGTCTGCCTGCAGCCTGTCCAATCAAGCCCTCCCAGGTTCCTTGACCCTGGAAAAAGTGAGTAGGGGCCGTCCTGCCCACTTCCGCAGCAGGGTGTCCTATGCTTACAGAAGGACACCTGCAGACCATACAAGTTCAGGGAGAGCTGAGTTTGTGGATGGTACCTTTCCTGTTTTTCACATGACTGAGAGGAACCAAACCCAGGTAATTTCCCCACTCAGCCTGATCCTTCTTCCACTACGCCATCTAGCCGGCCCTGTCCTGCAACCCCTGCTTTGACCTACCCTTCCCTGGCCTGGGTCATTCCGGAGTGTTCAGTAGAGACTGGGAGCTATGGGTAATAAAAGCTCACAAAACCTAGGGATGAGAAATCCACCCACCTGTGCGCCCACCCAGCCACTCCAGCTCCTGACTCAGAATGTCCTCAGAATGAGGGACCAGGGCACCCAGAGACCCGACTTCATCTGCAGGACAGCGAGTGTCCATCTGTGACTGACCACTGACTCTCAGCAAGACAGGCCAGTGATTGCAAGTCCCTTAAATTTTCCAGAGAAGCCAGAAACACAGATTCGTACGTGAAATCCCTTGAGTTCTAAATGTTAATTACCAATTCCAGGCTCTCAGAGGCTCTATGGAGACCGAGCCAATCAAGTCTGCAGACTGCTGGGAGCCAACGCACACCTGCATCCGACCTTCCTACCTCCCCAGGCTGCCACCCCTCCCTGCTGTTCCATGCCACAGACTCAGCATACTGGGTGCAGGTAGGGGGCACTCCCAACATGGCCTGGCGGGACGGCCACATGGGAGACAGAGGACAGGTGCACAGAGCTCTGAACACCACACACACATGCGCACACACACACACACACACACACACACACACACACACACACTCAGAGGCTCTGCTCCTGGCTGCTGCAGCTGGAGTCTCACACCCGCAAGTCTCTGAGAACCCCTCTGCCGTTTGCCTCGTTCCTCTGCCTACATCCCCTTCCCCTTCCTGGGCTGCCCCACGCCTCCCCTCAGTAATCTTCCTGTGGGCCCTGAAATTGCTCTTTGGATGGAGATTATTGTGAAGCAGTGGTTAAGGGGAAGGAGCGATTGATAATCCACCTCATGGATGGATTAACTTGCAGAAAAAAAAAAATCAGGTTGCGCCTGGATAAAGGGAGACTTGAGGCTTTATCAAACCTGCCTGCACACAGCTGTGTGGCAGTGAGATTAAGGCTTGAGCCGCCATTCCACCCTGTCCCCCACGGAAGGGGGAAGTCACCTGTTGCCAGTGGCTTGGCGAAGCTGCTTCCACCCGGGTGGGCTCTGCAGAGAAGAGAGCTCACAGGGACCCATGGCTATTTCCTGGGACTTGTCATGTCTGGAACATGTACCTGCTTTTGTTTCTGCCTGAAGGTTTAGCTGCCCCTTCGTCTGAAATCAGACGTGAACCCCAAGAGCATATGAGCTTCTGTGGGAGGATCCCAGGATGCCTGGAGGAAACTTCAGGCATTGACTGATCCTCCAGAGTCAGAAACTGGAGGCCCTGAGGATCCTGGGCACCTTCCATTTTCCCCACGCTTCCCAATTGGATGTAAATGAGGGAGAGGCTGGCACAGCATGGAGAAGGTGTGGATTCCCAGGCCCCCTCTGGGGAAGCCTGGCAGAGCTCAGGACAGACTGAAGTCTTCCTTCTGCATGCAGTCAGGTCAACCTGATTTCTTCCCCAGAACCCTCTCTGGCTCCAGGGGCAGCCACCAGGACAGGGACCCCAGGGAATAGCAGCCTGCTCAGGACCTGCAGTTTAAACACCACTGGCTTTCTCTTAGCTACTTGGTGTCTAGGGTTGCAGAGGGCGCTGTAAGCCCAAAGGGAGGCTAAGCCAGCCTGGTGCCTGTCCATGTGAAGAGGGAAGGGCTGGTGGGGTGGGGAGGGGCAACAGATGGAGATGGAGACCATAAGGGCTGTGATCCTCCTTGGCTATGGAGCCACGAGAGAGTTCTGTGGGCCCATGGGGATCATATCCCTTTGCTTCTCTTGGTGGTCGGTGCCTATCCTGCATTTTCATGGAAACTTCACAGTAAGATTTCCCTCCTCAGATTCTCCTGGACTACTTTGCTGTGCAAAAGAGACTCAGCGGAACACAGAGCTTTTGACATTCCCTGTGGCAACACAGGTGGTCCCTGGGGCCTGTGGGTCCTTAGCTGAGAGAACCCCAGCCTCTTCCCAGGAGCCTAGGAAGACCCCTAGCCCAAGGACTTAGCTTGTCGAGTCCCTGGATCAGAGGGCTTAGCCCACACAGCACCCTGAAGTGGGTCTTTGTTTTGTGTCAAAGTTCTTAGGAGACTTTGAAGAGAGTTTCATGGTGCCAAGGAAGACAGGATGCATGATGATCAGTGACTGGTTGCACAGTCTCCTTTGTCAAACACTGTGACATATACCAAACAGCAGTCACATGTACCTTCAGCACTCAAGGGTCAAAGCCAGATGGGACCCAAGTAGCCAGTGTGCTGCTGGTCCTTCCCATCCTGTGGATATCCCACCAAGGCCGACTTCTCAGAGGTGGAAGTGGTAGTGGCTGCAGCCCCAGGAGAACGGACAGATGGCTGAGTGTGGCCAAGTATGGCCAGGCAGGTGAGTGGCCAGCATTCTGTTCTTTCAGCCTGCAGTGCCCTCTGTGGGGGAATCAGTGGATGACAGGGACACCTCAGAGGGCAAATTACTGTGCCAGCTGCCATCCTGCTCACCAAGACAAAGACGGCATGGAAATACCCAGGGTGACTGTCACGCAGAGAGAGGCCGGGGTCACGAAGCTGACATCTCTCCAAGCAACAGCTAGCTGCTGGGCTTCTGCATTTCCAACCTGACCGGACACAGTGGCATCCAGGGCAATAACACTGGGTAGGAGACAATGTTTCCTTTAATCGGAGTCACACCTAAGGAGGCTATTTCTAGAAACTTCATAACTTTCCTCAATTGCCCAAACGATTCCAAGTCGTTTTTTCCAAAACAAGTCTTGTTCCTTAAAAACTGTTCACCTCTGTCTCAAAAAGAAACTTTTGAGGCAACACTTCCATGGAAGTCCTTGTTAAAAGGGCTTCTCTGAAAGAAGTTCCTCAAAAATATATTAAAAATCATATTAAAATCATTTTCATAAAATGTGTGTTGAGAAAAGACAAGTTTAATTCTCAAAGGGTCCATTATTGAAGCAAAAATTAATATTTGTACTGTTTCTAAATTGGAATAAAATTGCAAAGATGCAAACACCACCCTATATCATAATCTATAAACCAGTCAGAAATGTTAAATCAACTGTAAAAATGATTTAAAATCTACATGAATAATTTTATTAAACTGATTTGAAATCATATTTTGTGCTACCTTCATTTATTAACTGCATCTCCAACAACAATAGGTTTATAATGGATTTTTTTTTTTTTCAAATAGAGATACGTTCTCACAAAGCTGTCCAGGAAAAGCCTCCCCTGTCCTGGAGGGCCTGTGACCCTCCTGCTACACAGTGCACACTTGAGATTGTGCACACAGTTCCCCTTTATGTCTCTAGGGGTAGAGGCAAAGACATTAATTCCTGTGCGCACCCACTGCAGAGACCCAATGTGTGAGGACTGGAGTTTACAAGGATCTGGAGTTTACAGGGAGGGGTCCACAGGCACACTGGAAAGGGCACTTGCCTGAGATTTTCCTCCTCTCTTCCCTCTTCAACGCTGATGACCGGTTTACGGGTTTCCTCAAACACTTCCTCTCAGAGCCGGGCGTCGTAGCACAGGCCCACAGTCCCAGCACTCTAGGAAGCTGAGGCAAGAGGATCACAAGTTGGAGCCCACTTTGGGCAACCTAGTGAATTAGGAGAACGTATCTCAAAATAAAAAATAGAAAGGGGCTGGGTTTCTTTCTCTGAGTGCCAGAAGACACAGGCATCAAAGTGGAGGACACACTACCTCTGCCTCCAAAATGAAACAAAACAGAAATCTGAAGCAGAAGGCACTTTCATCAATGGCCCCCTGATGAGATCTCCCTTCCTCTCCAAGGCTTTCTCTTGCTGGCTACAGGGCAATAAAATTCTGTCTTGGGTCCATCATTTGGGGGCCCTGGACTCACTGCACCCCAAATGCTTGAGTCCGCAAACCCCAGACTGAAGCCGTTTGCCTGTGTGCACAGCAGTCAGAGGAGCGGGCTAACCCCAGCTACGACTCCACAGAAGTGTCTAAGGGTACCGGAGTCCACAGGCTCCTCCGGTTCCCTAGAGACAGAGTTGACAGGCGCCGTCCTGTAGACAGCAGCAGGAGTCACAGCTGTAAAGCCCGAGGCCTAACGGGGAAACTGAGCCTCTCGAGGCTCCAGACTGTTAGCTGTGTCCCCGGGAGCCCTGAAACCGCTTCCCGCCACCTGGACCACAGTGCTTTCTGATGCGGCGAGGTGGCAGCGAGGGCAGCCCCTGTGAGGCTGGGGGGCCCATCTCTGAGCTGGCCTTGCCCCTCTCCCCACCCTCCTGCCTAAACACGAGGGCTCCTCCCTCCCTCCACTGCGTGACGCCCACTGGAGGCTGCCATCCACTTCTGTGTGCCTGGACCTCGGTAGGACATTGTCACCGGAGGTGTCCTGTGCCCACGAGGGTGGGCAGCCACACCCAGGCAAAGGCAGCTTCCTCACCCCTCGGTGGGTCACTCCTGGCCCCCCGAGGCCCCCAAAGCCCCAGCTTTGATGGCACATATCTGGCCAGCTTCCTACCCCTCCTGATAGCTCCTCGCCCCACAGCTCAACTCAAGAGGACCTGAGTCCTTAGCTCCATTTCTGCTACCCGTGAAACCAGGATGAGAGAAGCTGAGGCAGGAGGATCCAAAGCTCAAGATCAGCCTGGGCAAGCTAGCAACTTCAGAGAGAGAGACAGAGACGGGGGGGGAGACATTGACTCAAAATAAAGCATAAAAAATAAAGAGGCTGGGGATGTAGCTCAGTGTGAAGGCCTGGGGGAGGGCAAAGAGAGAGGAGAGCGGGGAGCCGGGGAGATAGGGGAAGAGAACCTCCCAGAAGAGTCTTCAGTGTGCTCTGGACAGCTCCCCCCGGGCTGACACTCTACAACCACTCTCTCCAGCACCAGGTACCCAACCTGAGGCACCCGACCCCCGATCCGGTCCCAGCCACACTTGCACATAAGAGATGACCAACGCTTATTCGTCTTCTCCCCACCCAGGCCCCCACCAAGTGTCTGCTGCCACCCTGCCGGCCTCCCTCCTCCGGAGAAATCACTCAGAGAGCCTTGCGTCTGAAACACAATATCTGCCTCTTGGAGATGTTGTGTGACCTTTCACATCATTTCCCCCAAAAGTTAATTTCGGTGATGAATGCAATGGACTCCAACCCATAAATCTGACTGTCTGAAGGATTCAAATTAGGAATTATTGACAGCTGATGGAACCCCGGTTGCAGAGAGGAAGCGGGCCTTCGCATCTGTCCATCTAAATGTTGGAATGCGTATTGATTAACATATGACGTGCTGT